TTGCTGTCTTGTGTGACACTTTTGCTGTGAGGACCTGAGCACAGTTTGATTACCATTTCATGCGTTTGGGTGCAAGAAAATAACCAAACCGCCTGTCCATAATTGTGACCTCTTCCCTTTTTATCCTCGGTTACATTTACCTTTTTCCAAAACCCCAGTGAGATGAAAAGAAATGATTTTGGTTTGCGTATGTTTTTCCCCTGATGACTTGAAAGCAGTCGAAAGCATTGAAGCATTTAGTACCTCACTTATGTATAGTGTAGTGCCAAAACTGCAGTGATTTTTTTTTTTTTTTTTTTTTTTTTTAGATGTACTGTTTGCTTATTGATTGAGATGACAATAAATTGTTTGTAACAAAAAAACTGCATCTTGTCTCCCAATATTGAAAATCTGATCTGGTATTAACTACAGAAAACATTGACCACATGAATATAAACCTACTGAGAGTATCTTGGCCCTCCATGACAGTTATTACTGCCACTGCTTTAAACATTCACAGAGAATCGTCTCTACGTGTCGCCTAGCAACCACGTTGTTGAGCTGCTGCTCCCAAGGACGGCAGTGAAAAGCGGAGGGGGGGTTACATTAAAATTATTAGGAATATTGTTTTATTTTTACTTTATTATGCCGTTATAAAACAACAGTGTAAATCCAGCTTAATATATTTTTTTTTCGTAAAAGCTAATATTACAGTATGTTGCCACTGGTGACACAAAGAAGCCCGTTTGCTGCGGTAATATATCTGACGTGTCAGAATATGGTGCAACGGTCTCTTTCAAATCTTGTGACCGTGAAGTAAAAGGAGAAAAAAAAAAAAAAAGGTAGAAAAACTGCCATTTAACTCCGGTAAATGAGTGTTTTGTAGGTAGATATGTTGTGAGTTTTTACAGATGGACTACCTGAATGCAGTGGTTATGCTCATGCCCAGATACGTAGGCAGTGACTTCATACTCATTTTTCAGTGCACGTCCAGTGGCCGTCGCTCCTGTATAAGAAATGATACATCGGCAAGAAAACGAATACGCTATCATGTATTTGCGCCATTGGAAATGTAACACAGACATGTGAGGAAACGTGTTTTATGTCAGTGTCTTTGTCGGTGGACTGCTGTGATTTTTTTTTTTTTTTTTTTTTTGGTGGATGATTTCGCTGTTAAAGCCGCGGTGCGTTCACTTACTCTCATATTGCCTTAAAATGAAGATGGGCTGTATCAAATGATGAAAGATGATGGACGCACGATCGATTACAGATGGTAGGTTATAATTTTCTCATCTTCATCGTATAAGCTTTAGGAAAACGGTGATGTAGCTTAAATATTTCCTCTGGATTTCAGCAGACTGTGTGTGTATGTGTGTGTGTGTGTGTGTGTGTGTGTGTTGGGGGGGGGGGAGTATGGTATAATTGGCCAAATGCAGTGGTGCATAGCTATAGCCTACTGTAGATTGTGTATAACATGTAAGTGCATCACAGCTTATTATACAGTATGTACCTATTGACACACAGTGGCACTACCCGTCGCCCCCCTTTAATCAGCTGTGTATTAAATGTGATGTACTGCTCAGTATAACAGCTAATACATGACTGTATCCTTTGTAGCACTCTACCAAGGTGGCAGCAATGGCGGAGGCAGCACCTATCACCATCGACTGATCCTCACAGTCTCCTTCTACGTAGAGGAATAATGTTGAAATCGATGACTTTGGGATCCTTATAAATTGTTATTATACAATGAACACCACTGTTACACCATCAGACCTGGTGGATGTGCCAAGACAGCAGAACTTCAATGGCACCCTGGGCACACAGACCCCGTCAGGTTGGGCGGTGATCCACACTGCTACCTTGACCTTTTGCTCTCTCCTCCTCATCTTCATCTTCTGCCTTGGGTCTTACGGCAACCTCGTGGTGTTCCTGTCCTTTTTTGACCCTGTGTTTCGCAAGTTCCGCACCAACTTTGACTTCATGATCCTCAACCTGTCCTTCTGTGACTTGTTCATCTGCTGCGTGACTGCTCCCATGTTTGCACTGGTGCTCTTCTTGGATGCAGGTGGAGGGGCCGGCGTGTCGAAGAGCTTCTGCTTTGCTTTCCACTTGACCAGCTCGGGCTTCATCATCATGTCCCTGGAGACGGTTGCTGTCATTGCTTTACACAGACTGCGAATGGTTTTGGGGCAGCAGCCCAACCGCACCGCCTCCTTCCCGTGCACGCTGGCGCTCACCGCCCTACTGTGGACATCCAGCTTCACCATGGCCGCCCTCCTTACCATGCGAGCCTACCCGCGTAGAGATGGACCCTGCTTGCCCCACTTTGGCCTGGGAGGTGGACAGGCCAGGGTGGTGTTGTACGTCTACCTGGCAGACTTTGCCTTCTGCGTTGCCGTGGTGTCTGTGTCCTATCTGATGATTGCTCAGACACTGAGAAAAAACGCACAAGTGAGGAAATGTCCCATCATCGCTGTAGATGCCACATGCCCTCCACCCCCACCACCTCTCATTGCAGCAGGCTTTGAGAGCATGCAGTGTGCCGTTCAAGGCCCCTCTCTGTACCGTAACCAGACTTACAACAAACTGCAGAATGTTCAGACACACTCTTACGCCAACAAGAACAGCCAGCCACTGGTACCAGGGGCTGCCCAAGGAGCCACCTGCTGTCAGCTGGTGTCTACAGTCAACCTGGCCACAGCCAAAGACTCTAAGGCGGTTGTCACCTGCGTAGTTATAGTGTTCTCTGTGCTGCTTTGCTGCTTGCCGATGGGAGTTTCACTGGCACAGGATGTTTTGTCACCAGAAAGTAGCTTTGCACATTACCAGTTTGAACTCTGCGGCTTTGTGCTAATTTTTCTCAAGTCGGGCATCAATCCCTTTGTCTACTCGCGCAACAGTGCAGGCCTCCGCCGCCGCGTGCTGTGCTGTATTCAGTGGGCAGCGCTGGGCTTCCTCTGTTGCAAGCAAAAGACTCGCCTGCATGCGATGGGGAAGGGCAGCCTGGAAGTCAATCGGAATAAATCCTCCCATCACGAGACCAACTCGGCCTACGTTCTGTCACCCAAGCCACAGAGGAGGCTGGTAGACCAGGCGTGCGGGCCCAGTCACTCCAGGGATTGTGCGGGTAGTCCAAAGGCCACAGGTGTGCGCAAGCCTCGCCCCCCGAGCACCTCTACGCCTATCAACACCCGCATTGAGCCCTACTACAGTATATACAACAGCAGTCCCTCTGCAGGGCCCAGCTCCCCCACCAGCCTGCAGCCTGTCAGCTCTCAGACATTTGCCTTTGCCAAGTCTTATGTAGCCATGCACTACCACACTCACCAAGACGCACTACAAGACTTTGAAAGCACCTCAGTGCACCAGATTCCCATCCCCTCAGTCTAATCTAAAACATAAAAGGTTTGGGCAATCTCGCCATGGCTTTAGATCCAACGTGAATCAAAATGAACTTGAAAACAGCCCATTTCATTTATTTGGAATCTGTATTAACCTTTTGTTCTCTTCTACAGTGGAAATACATGTTACGTTTTCTTGAGTGGAACATTTAAAAAAAAAATTAATTTTCAGCCTTGCCATGGGAACTAAAACCAAGCAATAGATTTGTAATGAAAGTGTCCAAAAAAGTTATTTACTGTTATGGAATTGACTTTTTCTTTTACAGATGCTGCATTTTCACATAAATCTGCCCCAGTGTTGCGCACGCATGTGCCATTGTAACCCAAGACTCTGTAGGTTTTCATGGCAGCCAAAGACTGCAGTCGCTGGTTTCACTGCTGCCTCCTCTGTGGTTGTGTGCTGCTGTGGGGTCAGGCTACTATGAAACCCTGCACAGGCCCACACATGGCTGTCGATGGCATGTGGTTGCACTTCGAAGGACCTTTGCTTCTTAAGACAAATATATTTGTGAACCTCATACACTTTTCAACACAATAAATGTTTGGCAAGTGCAGTGGATGTGTGCTTTCGCTTTTTGAACTGGAAACTAAAATGATTAATCTCAACTTTTTTGATACTTTTGATTCATTGTTTGTCATTTGTCAAGCAACTTTTGCTGGTTTCAGCCTTTGAACTGTGAGCATTTGAGGCTTTTCTTTTTTAATATATGATAGCAAACTTAATGACCCTTGTCACTCTTATTCGTCTTACCAGCAGTTAAACTAAAGACGTCCCTTTGGGCCCTCGACAAATATAATGCGCATTTTCTCCTATTTTGTGATATTTTTTAGACACAACAATTAATCAAGAAAATAATGGCAGATAATGGATAATGAAAATGATTGTTAGTTCCAGCTCTGGTTTTAACTTTAATTGCCACTTCAGTGCTAATGAAATGATCATAATACTGGTAAACTTCATTTTTATTTAGGCCTCATGTCTGCTGGAGTTAAACACCTGTTATTGCGCTGATGTTAAGAATGTGAAAAACATCATACTTGTGTTTTCTTAGGCCTATAAAAGGATGATAACTCAGGGCAACAAAACTGTTTGAATTGGCACGAACGCTACATTATTTTCTTTTGATATATTCACGTAACAGTGTTTGAACTGCAAATCTGCCTTAGGCATTTCAGAATATATCCACATGCTTAGTATTCTTTACATTACATACAGTGAGGTTACAGATGAAGCTTTCAAAGACCTTCAGTTCAGTCTGCTATTTCTTTTGTTTTTTAAATAAAAAGTATTAGTATTAGTATTAGGGAATAAAAATAACTGTAATGACTTCTTTTGAACACTTCAGATGTAATTTGACCTTAAATGGTGATGATTCTTTTATAGGTCGAGTTGTTTTTTCTTTTTGATAAATAAAAAAAAAAAAAAGGTTTTCATAAGTAGAAAAGATTATACAATACCCACCGCATCAGCACCCTCTGGTGGCCTTAAATTTACCATGGCAACTTACTATAGTAGATGTCTTTCAGAGGAGGATCAACAAATGTATCTTCTTTCCAGGAGGGAAATAACAGAGTTCATGATGATTAATAAGAACAAATAACAAGAGAACTACAGAATAAAAACTATTTTTTTTTATAAAGGCAATCACAATTTACCAGATATCCCTATAATTATTAAGCAGACATTTGTTGCCATGATGACCTTATATCTCAGTGAAGTCAGTTTTCCCCCCCATGTGGTAATACAACATTTTAAATGAGGTTTCAAATTTTAGTTTTATTATTTGCTGTAAATGCACAGTTTTTTTTTTATCCCTGTGATACAGCAGTGATCAGGATTGCCAGTGTGCCTCTTCATAAAACCACAGAATACCTCTTATAGGAACCCACAGACATTCTGTACATCCTACAAACAAATTAATTTTTAATCAACCTCTCACTTTTCTATTCCACAGCAACCTCTTAATGCATAAGTTACACTCACTCATCCTGTAAATTAACACAGCACACATTCTCACTGCTGCAAGAGATCTTCAGACTTGTTTCTCTCCCCCCCCCCATCTACAAGTGCCACAGTCAAGCAAGTTTTCATATCGCTCACACGCACGCACACACACGCACAAATACAGACCTTAAAGACAATAAAACCACCATTAACATTGTTGATTCCCCTGATGATAACAAATCCCCTGATTCATCACTCCTTTGCTTGCAATTAATCAACAGAAAGTGAAGCATAGATATGAAGTACAGGGAAATAATCCACTGTGTTGTGGAGTGATGCGTCGGCCCCATTTCACTGTTTTCACAAAGTCTGAGCAAGCCTGCTGGATTAGGCTGTGATGTAACATTTCCCATTGCACAGCTCGGGGCTGGGGCTATACTCCTAGGCTACATGAAATCCATCCTCAAGATCAAGTTTAACCTCAGTTTAACCTTGATTTTGGCCTTTAGCGCAGTGTCATGGGCATCTCTCTCTTCCTCCCTCTCTTCTGTTTTATGGTAAGTGTCCACTCTCTTCATGTGCAACCTCTTCTCCGTCTGTCCTCTACTTGTCCTTCATGCGCTGCTGCTGTCATATGATCTTTGTTAGTTTAGCTGGAGATTGACAGAAGTCCATGTTCGTCAGCGGTGTCAAGAATCCTGCATATGACCGGAGACTCCACCTACATAAAGAGAAAAAACAGATGTCAAACACCTCGAATGTCAAGGTTGACCTCTTGTCTGCATACAGCCAGTATAGTTAGATATCATAACTTCTAGTCTCCCTGTCATTGTTATAACAATGTATGAAACTACTAGACAGACAGACTTGGAAACTGTCTGTGGTTTGCACACATCTTCCTCTTTAGGAGGAAAAAAAATATATGCACATAAATTGATAGCATTTTTAGGAACCACTAACAAATACTGGATTTTATTTAAATAACCTCAAGGAACAGTCATCAGTTTTTCCTTTTCCTCCCTGTTGAAATGTCTGTCCATCTTATATTGTACGTGTCATTTTGCTAACCTAAACTTTGCTTACATCACTCTTGTGTCTTTATCATCCACAAATAATAAACAAATCACATTCATAAACCTTTTCCAAGTCAGACAGTTTGCAGGAAAAGCACAGGTGGAAATAATGACTCAATAAAACACTAACAAAGGCTCAGTTCCAGCAATTATAGCAGTGCAACAGTTAATAATAATATTAGTTACACCTGTGTTTGAGGAAGTTAAAATGTCTGCTGTGAAAAAGGTTTCACTAACTAGATGTAAATTATTAATAACTTGGTTACAGTTTAGAGCACTTTCATTAAATTTAGCTCTCCAACTAAATTAAGTATAAGTATAAAAAGTACAGGTTAGCATTGTAGCTAAGGTTCAGCGTTAACCTGATACACTACTAAAGCATGTGTTTTGTTCAGTGACTGTGACTCATTGGTTACTACAGAACTCACCCCAAGGATGTACTGACAAGTCTGAGGCTCCAGCATGTAGACAGTGACAGCATGGGGAGACTCCGACTCCTTACATCTGACAGAGAGAAGAGAAATGTGATCAGAGTGAATCAACGGGGGAACATCAGTGTATTGTCTTACTCATGTGTTGACTCAGGGCAGCGACACTGAACCGGTGCAATGGTTCCTCCCTCCCACACCCACACCCACACCCCCACCCCCATAGCTGTGCACTCACTTGAGCTTGACAATGACCTGTCTGGGCTTCCCTGTCAGATCACACACATCACCGTGGCCGTAAAAGTGGGAAACCAACCTGGCATGTAGAAAATGAACAGAGAAAAATTAACAACAGTCAGAGTTTAATTTGCATCCAGGTTTTGGTTCAAACATATGAATGGCCTACTTGACTTTCTGCACGCCGTCATCTTTGAGCTGGTAGGATCGGGCGACGTTCTTCTTGGCCCAGTCAGTGTGCTCCTTGGCATTCCAGCTGCCGACCACCACAATGTTTTTTCCCTGTTCTTTTTCCTGGAGCACCAATGAACATTTGCATCACTGTACAAATGCCAAAGCCTTTTTTCCTTGCTAATTTGATCTTACATACACAATTAAAATGATCACTTATGCAGTAACACATTTTGCCAAGTAGAGCTGAAACAATCATTATTTGAATTCATTTTTATTGCCAACAAAGATGGCAAATGTTCCAGCTTCTCAATCATGAGGATTTGCTACACTCTTTGTCTTATGTAATGATAACCTGAATGTCTTTGGGTTTTGGACTGTTTGTCAGACAAAATAAGTAATTCAAAGACAGCACCTTAGTCTTCAGGAAACTGTGATGTGGTATTTTTCTCTAGTTTTAAACAATTTATATAGACCAAACCATTAAAGCTGCTGTAGATAACTTTAAAAAAAAAGTTTGAAAGTTTCCTGGGACAGATAATCTGTGAAAAAAACTGCTTCTTCCGGCTCGTCCTAGTGCTGCTAATGGCATTTAAAAAGAATCAGAGCCGAGAAAGCTACTTTATTGTTGTGTCCCATTCCAAAGTGTTGGTATTTGACTATCAACTAACTATCTTTCTTGGCTCTGATTGGTTACTTTCATTCAGACGGGGTGGATTCTTGCAAAATGCCATTGGGAGCACTAGGATGAGCCAGAGGAACTTTTGTTTCTTTCTTCAGATTATCTGTCTCATGTACTACAGACAGTATATAGTGAAAGTTTCTTCAAATATGACAAAAAGTTATTTTTCTATAAAAGTTACCTACTGCAGCTTTAAGCAAGAAAATAACTGTTAATTGCAGCCCTACAACCAAGAGTAACAGCTTAAACTGATACTAGAAGTACATTTGATTTTGTTTTAGATATTCCACATTAATCACCCAGCGGAGAGACCCTTACCTCGTGGTACTGATGGACATGCTTTCCGTAACAGAATTCATATTTCCACCACCCAACCCCCTGAAACACACAAATTAAGATGATTACACATCATTAAATAGTTTATTAAACACTGCTCAGGTGCCATAGATGAACACGCCTCACCCCGTGCAGACAGTACGAGCCGCTGAGGAACTCCTTGATTAGCTGGTCATCTGTCAGACGAGAGATGTGTGTGGTGCCGACAGTGACCTGAGTCTGGCCTCCAACGGTCATGGGTTTGTGAGTGGAGGTGAAGGCCTCCTCTCTCACTGGTGGCGCCTCCTCCTGTAACGTGTTAGATATACAGTATGTGAGCCAGCTGTCGTCGGTACGCACATACATTTTCCTCTCTGTCCTCTTTCTGTGCATGCCTTACCTCTCTGGCCTCGACGGTGGCACTGAAAGGAGGTTTAAGCTGCTCCTCTTGCTCCTTGTCCCATTGAGCGAGCCGCTGAGGCCGCTGAGGGGAGCCTGACAGAGCTTGGCAGAAGATGCCGTTCACCGGGGAAGACTTGAACCTGAAAGGAATATATATATATAAATAATATAATATATATAAAGCATTTCAGAATGTCTAACTTGTTTCTACTACTGAGGTATAGTCCTTTGAGCACAATATTAAATGTATTCACTGTGACAGATCTACCTGTATTTTGGGTGTGAACAAAGCAGGGGTGTCAACACCACCACCTCATATTCACAGGTGGTGACCTCGGCGACAGACAAGATCTCATGCTTGGCTTCTGGATGACAGACGTACAGCACAGATGTGGAGCGAGCCTCGTTCTGTTTCAGCACACAAGGGGTCCCATTTCCCATCTCCATTGAGAAGTAGGGAGTCAGCTGACCTTCTATATTCTTAGAGGGCACCTGGACACCAGCGGAAAGAGTGACAGAAACAGAAAAAAGTGTGTGAGAATCGAATCCTGGCAAATTTGGTTGGTTACTGAAGTTTCATCATAATACTTACTTCTGTTTCAGGTGCTGGTTTGACATTTTCTGCCTCTTCAGCGTTATCTGAAAAAATAAATGTCCAGCTTTAGCACAATAAGGAAAAACAAAAAAACTAAAAAGTATTAAAAATATTAAAAACAGAATATCTTACAAAATTAAATTTACAAAAGACACTGACCTGCCTCTGCCGACTGGCTCTTCTGTGCCATATTCCCCAGGAAGTATTCCTGAACACTAATCTTCTGAAACACACGATTACCTTTAGGCACACACTCTACTCAACGCTGGCGTCTCATTCATGTAATCTGAAAATGATTTCAGCCACTCAAAACACTTACCTGACCAGTCTCCTTCTCTTCATGATACTGCCTTATATGCTTTCCATGGCATACTTCATATGTCCAGTATGACTCGATCTGCAATGTCGGCAAGCCAAAAGCAAGTTTAGAGTTCAAGTCAGCAAACACCCTCAGCATTACAGCAGAAACACAGCATTACATTTTTAATCATGCTCCACTAACGTAGCGTGAACACTATCAGTTTCAGTCTTTACACTGAGAGAAGGAGGGAAATTAGATGAAAATGAAACTCTCACCCTGTAGGAACAGCTGCTTCGTTTGAACAGTGGCTCTAGCAGTTCACCTGGAGTTGGCCCACTGTACTCCTTATCATCATCCTAAGATAAGAGTGAGAGACATAAGGCAGGGTAAGGGAGCTGTGTCAGTGAACACAACAGCAGTACAAAAACAAAAAATAGCGTGATGTTATTGTCATTTTTTGTGTAAGCACATTAACATAATTGTCAGTGTCGATAAATCAATAAACAAAGAGATTGACATCCTCAGCAACACTCTTCTTCTGGGGATCTAATTAAAACCTGTCTGATCACGCCCCAGTGTTTTTGCTTTCCTTTATATCAGCAAGGAAAAATGTCAAACAGATTGAAGATTAATGGGAGATATAGACTGGTCTCATGCAACTGAAGATCAACCTGCACATCTCTCCTGGACAAACATGCTTCTATCAAGACAAACCATTCATTGGAATAAGTACACCTGAGGAAAATGGAGAATAGTATGTACACCGGAGAGGAAATGCCTTGCATTAACCCAGTGGGACAACGTTGAGCTGCTCTGCCTCATATATAAATAACTTGGGTCATAAAACCTGTAATGTGTTAATAAGAAATTGTTAATCCTGCTTACCTCGTCTCCAGTTGCCAGGGAAGGCAGGAGACATTTATACTTCTCTTGCTCTGTCGTTGTCATGATGACAAAGTCATCTTCCTTGTACAGTGCTCCTGAAGTTGACTGAAATCAACAACAAAAACGTTTGTTACACCAACAGCAGCGTCGAGTATGAAAAGAGGAGCTTACAGGTGACAGTAACATCTCTCTAAACCTCTTCCTGTACATTTGTGTCTAAAAAAAACAAACAGTGTTACTAAAAGAGGAGGCATACCAGCGTGAATTCAGAGCCTGGCCAGGTGATTTTGAAAGGTATTTCGTCTGTAAAGGAGGGATAACCCCCTCTGTTTGCTGAGACGCCGCTGCAGACCTCCAGCAACCCCCCGAGAAACACCATCAGCAGCCCAGCCATCATCTCTCCTGTCCGGCTGCTGAGCTCCTACAGTCCGCTCCTCATGTACGATAACAGCCCGCTCGCCTCGCACGAACAACGACTTAAAAGCTGCTATTCCAAAGTCCGAGGAAGTCCTGGTTTGACAGACGTAAGATACTGCCGTGTGAGACGGATGTCAATACGGCACAAAAAACAGGAAGTGAACTGTTTACTTGCCACGTCGTGTTCCGCCCTTGCGTCGTGCTGAAACCACAGCAGCGCCCCCTGGTGGCGACATGAGGAAATGACAAGGAGTTTGATACCTGGAGCAGAAACAACAACTTAAACCAGTGAAACTCTGGAGTTATGGCTGTAGAAGTCATTGTTTTTTAATTAAACAACAGTTGTAATATATTATTTAAAAAAAAATCATTTTAAATTCTTTTCTACCATGCTTTGCAAATGCACACAGCTGAATCATATATTATTAAACATTTCACATTCACTCAGTTTCAATTATGTGAGCTATAATTTTACTATGCATGCATTATTACTAGCAATATTTAAAATTTTAAAATCCCCCAAAATTATTCCACAACAGCACAAAGGCTAGTTTGTACATCGTTGAAAACTACTTCTTGTCTGAAAAAAATATGCATACAATTACAGTTAAAATGGGAAAGCTAAGGTGAATGAATGGTAAAATATATAATCTGGAGGTTAATATAGTACAATATAACCAGTATTAACCAGTATAAAAATATGTGTGAAGTTCCAATGGCAGGGTCTGATTAATGTAAATATAGATCTTTAAGTTGCAAATGTACTTCTGTTGTACAGTTTTCACAGGTGAAATCACACTCCTCAATGCCGTGCTAAACTTAACCATAGCACCATATCATAAAGCTGTTACTGAACACAGCTTGCCTGAAGCATTTTGCTCTTTTTGAGTTGAAATGCTTGAGAGCTTCCCAGATCATGTAGAAAAGGTATGTTGCCTCATCTCTGCCTCCCAGTGGATGGATTTGGAAATTGAATTGTGTCAGCGTGTGTGCTGAATACATAGAGCTGATGTTTTAGGGTGTCTCACAGTTATTTTTATAAGTACTTGAAGATGAAAGGCAGTATGAAGATGTAAAGTATACTATATCCTATTGAGAAGATGATCTACTAAGCATTTCCTGCATATGTTAGTTGACTTATATGCAGGCGATGATGAGACCAGCTCTGTGCCAACGTGCAGTGTCCTTACTCTTATCCGGTGACTCTGTTGATTCAGCATTGCTGTGTGTTGAATGACAATAAATAATCCCCCCCACCACCTGAACAGCTCACATGAAAGCAGCTCTCAGTTAACAGGAAATTTAACACATAGACCTTGAAAATACGGGGTGTGCATTTCACTGTCAGGGGGGAAATGCAGAGCGTGCCTTGAACTGATGGAAAAGTGGAGCGTAAACCTGAGGTGGACATTTTTCCACCTGTTGGTGGAGCTGTTGATGTGAGAATGTGAAGCACAGGAGCCAAGAGAAAGGAGAGCGCTTATAGCAGAGATTTCGAGACAAAGAGTGAGAGGATTGGGAGGAGAAAGGGATATGGAGGAACAGGGAAGGATACTAGCAAGAGAACGTCCCACTGGACCATTTGGCCTCTACAGCCACACCCGTCTGCTACATACATACATACGTATAGCTTCTACTCACACCTGTCTGCAATGTACATATGGTTGTAAATATTTACATAGCCTGAAAGTGCGCACATAGTATGTACTATGTTCCAGATGGATTAGATAAAATAGATTTAATTTGTAAGATGACAGATCAGTAAGTAGATAGACAGACAGTGTTTAGTTTCCATGGTAACTATTCATTTGCCATTGAATTATGATTTTCTCAGGGTTACTTTTTTCTTGTGGCAGTAATCTTATGACAGAATATTTATAACTAATTCCTAATTTAGTGTAAAAACATCTTGACCTTGGAGTAGTTTCAGAAAAGATCTTAACTCAAGGTCCACTTACTAGCTTTTTCTGGAGCTTTTAACAGCTTTTCAGGATCTTCCACAGCAGATTGGAGTAGAGTTTTCTCAGTTTTTTGTGGAATTTGCACAGGTATTGCATTTTGTTACTTTTAGACAGAGCTAGACACTGGCTCTATATAGGGCCTTTTCACGTTTTTGGCTATTTACGGAGTTTCTCCTACAGGCTTGGAAGGGGAGGGTGAGGCGAGGGGGTTGTAATCTGCACCTACACTGCTAGATACCACTAAAACCTACACATTGGTCCAGGTTACATGTACAGATGATATAGCTCTCTGCCTCCTAAAAATGAATAATAATAGAATTACTAGTGCCGCTTACGTTTTCCAAAGCGTCCAGAGCAAAGTTAATTCTTTTTTGACTGTTTTTTATGTATCAATTTTCCTTCAAAATGGCAAAAATGTCAGAGACCTGAAAAGAATTGGTATTTCAGATACAATTGCAGCTCAAGCGAGTCAAAACTTCTTTAATGTCTCTTCCTCTGTGGACGTTCACAGTCTTTTACGGAGCCTTACTGGCAGGAACATACTCGAACTCACCACTTTGAAATGAGCATTTTCATTTATTTCACTGCGATCCATGGGGTGAACTTGATTTGCATAGATGCCTTCCACACACTCTCACCTTATGCATAATTGATACAACTGTCATCTCCCCAACTATAATAAGATCATTCCAAAGGGAACAGAGAGAAATGAATCTTGACATTTGAAGGTCTCGAGCGAGATTAAGATGTCTCCTGAGCTGTCACCCAAAAATACACGTAGAATATGTCAGGTGTCAGATCAATATTGTCACTTTTGCTAGATTTTCTTAATAACATTCAATATTGATTTGGTTGTAGCATTTCTTCATGTTGTATTTATTTTGTAATCCTCATAGCTTTCCTTGTTTTTTTCTAACATTCCCCTTCAGACTCGGAGTCCATACAGCACGTCTAATTAATCAATTACGGTTCATTGTAGTGTTCACATTAATACGGCACACTTGTCAAGCATATTAACGTTACATCATGCCTTTTTTCTGCTGCCTTAATCACACAGACTCAATTTGTGTACTGATTTTGTTTGAGTGATGAAAACACCAAAAGGCTCAAACCGTCAAACCATTTTGAATAATCTTCCACAGACTGGTAGGTGTGTTTACCAGCTTAAGGGCAGAATTGTCAGAACATGTGGTATGCTTCCTGATATGCATTTTAAAGCAAATTATCCTAGTTCTGTCTGCTGTGCATGTACACAGTTGTCACTCATGCACCTGTTGTGTTTGACTCAAACTAAAACACTGTTTTATAGGCTAAACAAATCTTGTAAAGGGAGCTACAACTTGAATAAATGATGCAAAGAAGCAAAACAAAGTCAACAAAGTCGGCGAAACATGAAAGAAATGGATTTAACCGTGCCAGTGGATCAGAGGGCTGCTCTCCACATCCCTGCAGAGAAAGTAATGAGAGAGTATTTTTGTTTGGATGGATCTGGATAGGCTCCAGATATTCAAAGAGCTGGTCCTCGCTATGTTTGCCTGTGATTCAGGCTTAGCTCTTATATGATAATATCAGAGAAGAGGTCAGTGGAGACAGAGTATCCCTGAGTCCCTGAATGCATTGTAATGGCACAGAGCCCATGATTTAATTCATACAGTATAGACCTGTTTGTTTTATTTCAATCAAATGTTGAGGTTATGGTACTTCTAGGTTTGTGCGCTCATGGTTAACCCAATCCTTGTATAAACACAAACTTTGTCTCTTTTTATTTGGATGTGATATTCTGTATTTACAGTCTTGCTTCTCTTCTTTCTTCTCCCAGCTTAGGGAAACCTCAAATTACAGCTCTCTCTGCAACTAAAGCAGCCCATCCAACCATGACCATCCTCAAAGGTGACCATGGTTGTTTATGTAAATACTGTTTGCATTGTCTGAGCTCTAAGCTGTTTCAGAGAGTCCTGAGACGCTACGCTCGAATACAAAAGTCAGTGAAACCCCAGAAGTACATTTTGTCTATGAGCAAGAACAGAAAGTGGGTTAACTACTTGAAAATGCATCCTAAGCAGTGAGCATAAGCTAGAAGAGCTTAGGGAAGCTAGGGAGACTTTGAGAATGAAAGTCATTTAGTGTTTCTTCACAGTTTGAGAGTGATTGGCACAAATTCTGCGAGGTAAGGGAGAGAGTTCTTGACGGACTGGGAAAAGAGAATGGAAACTGAGATTCAGTGGATATTTGATCAATATCAGCACTTTAGCAGCTAGAAATCCAAGACAATCTGAGCAGGATTAGAAAATGAGCCAGATAACTGTGAAAAAGATTATGATACATCCTTCTATTATTGATTGGAATCTTCAGTCACTCTATAATGTATGTTGGTATTGCTAAAAAAATAAAAAATAAAACCAACAATCCCGACTGCATAGCTGTCTTGACTCCAAACAAACAACACCTGTGCAATATTGGACGCAAGATACTGTTTCCTCTAAATTATCATCTGAGAAAGTCTACAACAACCCACATAAGCTTTTGACAGAACAAATAAATACATTCCTGTCTTAACAAAGTTGTTTATCTCGCCAGTGAAAGATACAGTGCATACTGCATTCACTGAGTCATTTATATTCGATTGGCTGCTTTAGCATTATTGATGCAAAGACAACCTACACAATCCATCATCATTTGAATGCAGTCCTTAGATCTCTTTGGCACCAATTTGGACTGCAGATGGGTATAATTGGCTGAGATATGTGAGAGATGATGTCTTCTTCCATTTTATGTATGAGCACACTGTCTACCACTTGGCTAATGTGTAAAGCATTCACTAAATTAGAGGAATGGATGACAACTGATGGAGAAATGAAGTCAAGGCACTAGTTTAATGTATAGAATTAAACCAAGTCAGCAAGTGTTTTTCCAGATAAACAGAAATATATAAATGATATAACAGACGGCTGCACTGACATGAGTGGAAGTCATTTTACTGGTTTCGCCATACACCTGCATGGCTATGACTGGACATTACCAGTCAGCCGATACCAAACAGCTGATGAATGAGCCACTGATTCTGGTTGAACTAATCTCATGCTTCATATACGGAAATATATGAATATCCAGGAAGATGAAGCATTGTTAGTTATTGCATATTTGTAACCTTCATTAGATGCTTCAAATAACTTCCAATGTATAAACACACGTGTTATTACTGA